TGTGGATGCTTGCTGCAGGAATCTGTTCCTTTCCACATATATTTTTTAATACAACCAGGTGATTATCTTGTCAGTTATGCAATAGAGATGAACAAATAATTATACATTCATGCACGGTTTAGTACTTAGCAATGACTGCTATGGTAGGTGAGCTTTCTAAGGACCAATTCTTGTGAATTAGGATTATGAGGAATATCCACTAGACCCTACAATCATTACACTATAAATACATCTGGAATGTTATGTATGAAATAATAATAAAAATAACATTGCTATTGAAATGCTTCACATTCTATTATCTCAATGCACTTGAGACTTGGTAGATACATAAAGCATTGATGATGATTGGTATAATTCCAATAGTGTAAATATAATTAATTAACTGTTAATATAGTTAAACTCTTTTGGCATTTATTGATGATAAAGTATACTGTATTATAAAGACACACCCATAGATATAAAATGAGACTGGCTACCTTTACCCAGTATTCATCTGAATGTATCTCGCAGACTTATGTATCTCTTGTTCAATAGTCTTTTAAATGGCTATTAACATCCTGTTACCAACAAATTTTCTTAGGATTCTTTTTATCAAAATGTAAATCCTGCTTAGCTTCTAGCTGTTGTTATCATTTCTATGTTTATCACAAAATAAAGCCTTTAAAACTTAAAGGCACAATACCATAACATTATACAGTACAATACATGCACTATAGACAATTGTCCTGCCAATTATGATTTTGTGCTGAAAGGAACAAGTGCATGTAATTATAAAACAACATATGTACTCTGTGTCAAAAATATGCCAGCTTAAGTACTATAAACTTTTTATCAGAATCTGAATAACAGCAATAAAATATTTTAGCATGCAATCTTTTGGATATGGAAATACAGTTGCACATGGATTGGCCCATCATGATGTGGCACTAATAACATTGACTTTATAATTAATAACTTTAAAACATAAAAACAACAAACTTTATATTTTCCGTTTCTTCAATTTATATTATCATTATATATCAAACCAGAAACAATTCTATGTGTGATTAAATTTTACCTTAATAACTAAATTACTCTATAAAATGAGATTCAACAGTCTGTCACTTCAAGAAACAGAATTCATGTTATCCATAACACTTTGTGCCTACTGTATGAAGTACTCACACCAGAGCAAAAAACTAGTTTTGTATTGTGGCAAGACGTAATTTGTACCTAAGTATCTGGAATTAACTTCAAAGAGAATCTGTGGTAAAGTCAATAAGGCAAGTTTAATATCAATTCATAATTGGAACTAAACCATAAATTAAATATGATTTATTTTTTTTAATTCAGCTGAAAATCATGTTTTATGCTTCAAGAAATTGAAGTTCTATTAAATAATACAATTAATCTTTCACAGTTGCCTTGACTAAAACCACATACAATTTCCCTATTTAATATCAAATTCTTCATTTGTATGTACAGATATTATGCTAATGAAAGATTTCTTAGATGGCCATGAGTGAAAATGATGAGCCTTGGCAGTAGGGGATGACTAATTAATAGAGCTTTACTGTACTGTATTTGCATAAAATTTTGGCAAGCCATTTTTAACTCAAATTAATCAGTCACCTGAACTTACTTGTACTCAATATACAATTGTTTAAATAAACATGACAATAAATGAGTTGTATATATCACAATGTTTTTAGTTCATTTAAGGCTTCACTTCCTCCACTCATTGAACAACACTGATTCTAGGAACCACTTGTAATAGTTATAACTCCTTTATATAACAAAAGAGTAATGACATCATATAACTAAGAAGCTACTGGAAGACAAGTGAAACTTAAACAATACATATATATATACAGTACTGTAGTTTACAGTAAAACATCTTGAATCAGGAATTTCTATATCCAGATTCAACTAGAACAGGATGCTAAGAAAATTTTCCTGAATGCAACAAGTAATGGTCTCAATTGAGAACTTCATGCCTGAAGGGCCCACATGAGGATCATTGTTTGTATTAGATCTGGACAAGAGTGGGCCAGGAATGATTTGTTATCCTTGGCTCAGTGAGGTCACATGATGAGTAGTGAGCAACAGAGAGGCCGATTTACTTCTAAGTCATCTACTCAGCCAGCATTCCAATAGGTAGTGTGTAAATATATATATATATATATATATATATATATATATATATATATATATATATATATATATATATATATATATATATATATATATATATATATATATATATATATATATATATATATATACACACAATCAACACCTCAACCCGCCAGGATTCGAACCCACGGCCCACAAGCCTATGACTGTGACCGGGGAACACTAACCGCTGAACCACCAGGATACTAAAAGCAGTCCTAGACTTTGTTATATTTCACACAAAGCCTATTCAACGAGCTTATGGCGCCGTGAACCTCTAATGGGGACCACCCGTATCACTTAGGTGGTCAGAGTAACGTTTTACCAAATCCGGCTTCGAAACACGTGATGAAAGCACGTATTGTGAGCTTACGAAAGATCCCCTGGAAAATATTAATAAGTTATCTAATTCCAAAATGAAGATGTTATTGAAAAAGAACCCCGATCTCATCAAACAGCTCTCTCAAATCAATCCCACTTTACCTTATATGTATGGATTGATCAAAACACACAAGCTTAACAATCCATTACGTCCTATCGTGAGTTCTGTGGGTTCCGTTACTTACAAATTATCCAAGTAAAGATGCTATCCCCTCTTACAGGCCAAATATCTAATTCACATATACACAATAGCAGTGATTTAATTGATAAACTCAAGAAACACAATGAACCTTGCGAATTAATAAGTTTTGATGTAAATTCACTGTTCACTAGAGTACCTGTGAAAGACCTACTTTCATTTCTTAAAGATAAATTACAACTGTTAGATTTAACTATTGAACATGTTACTTTCCTCAAATTGATAGAGTTATGCGTAACTGACAATGTGTTTAGAGCAAATGGGAAGTTCTACAAGCAAATATTTGGCATGAACATGGGTATTTGTCTTTCTGCTCCTCTAGCCTGTATTTATATGGAGTTTTTTGAGTCTAGATTACTACCCAATATAGTGAACTTTATTCCTCCATGGTATAGATATGTAGATGATGTTCTTTGTCTTTGGCCTAGAAACAGTGACCCATTGGAATTTTTAGACAAGCTTAATGATATTGTCCCAAGTATCACATTCAAAATTGAAAGAGAAATAAATGGATCCCTTCCATTCCTTGATATGCTTATCATGAGAAATGGCCAAAACTACAAATTTAAGGTATACAGAAAGCCCACACAGGTAGACAGTTTCATACACTTTTTATCGAATCACCTTGAGTCTACCAAAATGTCAGTTTTTTCTGCTATGTTCTCAAGATGTCTGCGTATTTGTGACTGAATTTATTGATGATGAATTGAAACACATTTGTTCAATTGCACAAAAACTCGGGTACCCTTCTGTGTTTGTTGATCGTTGTTTTAAAAGGGCTAAAAAATCCTTTCATTCCTCTCAAACCAGGCAAATTCCTACACTTAAGAATATTTTGACTCTGCCCTATCGTAATGAATTTGTCCCGTTAGTTCGGTCCCTCAAGCTACTAAATGTTAATGTTGTTTTCAAGTATGACTCAACCATTACCAATATGTTAATAAGAAATAGCCCAAGTTTGAATGTAAATGGAAGTGTTTATTGTATTCCATGTAGCAAATGTAATTGTAATTATGTAGGACAGACAGGAAAAACACTGCAGCTCAGAATCAAACAACATACGTACAACATCAGAACAGCATCTGAAAGCAGTGCCCTGTTTGTTCATATTAGGAATAATAATCATCCCATTGCTTGGGAAAAAAGCTTAGAAGTATTTAAATCATCTTGTGTCACAGAAAGACTTCTGGTTGAAGCTAGTTTGATTAAGGAATTAAAATCAATAAACCTTAGTGATGGTCAGTTCAAAACTGATATGTTACATAAATTTATTTGTCAGTGGCCCAAGGTTAAAAATGCTTTTAAAACCTTTGATCTAGATGTAGGATAGTTATTTAGTGGGTCCCTTATTTTTGACCTAACCTGACTAGTCACGTCACCCCCTTCTCTTAAGCTCCTCTACGTGTGTTGGTGTGGGGATTAGTGGATGACATCATTATGACCTGACCTCATGTTTTATAAGGTCACCCTGGATATTTAAGCCTCTCTCTGTCCATGTAATCCAGTTGCCTCTGAAGATGTCTTGAATAAAGACGAAAGCTAAGGTACTCCGTTGTTTCCCTTTTCCCGTGTGATTTTATCAAGATTTATCTTATCCACGTTTTCATTGTGGATCTACATGAAATTATATATATATATATATAATATATATATGTATGGATGTATGTTTTCACCAAATTTCACGACATGACTTTTGTCTTTCATTGTACACACATTAAAGCTTAATGGCTATCTGGGGGATACAGTACACCACAACTTAATGGCTATCTAAGAGACACACCACAGCTTAGTTGATAACTGGAAGACACCACAGCTTATATTTCTGTTTTCTGGTAAAGTATGACTTCATTTAATTTATTTGCTTATATCCAGAAATATATGATACTCAGACCAGTCAGTGCGCTAATCAATCCAGATTTAAGAAGTTTTACTATATACTGTACTAAGTACTGTAATGTGATGTGGAATGTTTCAGAACTTAAAACATGATTCATAGCAAAGTATATCAACAAGTAATCTGTACAAAAAGTTTGCATCAAACTGTACCAATGTCAACAATGAAACTGATTAGAGGAAAAAATATCTGTATCACAAAGATTATATACATATGTGTGTGAGCCTCAAAGGGTTCTCAGAATTTACGCACTAAATATAACATAAGAATATTTAATGCCTACAAGCAGTTCAGGTGCACGAGACATTGTTTTATATGAGGTATAAAAAATAAAATTTTCATAAATTCCAAAGGGATAATCATACACTTCAATTCATCAAAAATTACTTACTTTACCAATTTATCCTAAAAATTATCAGTTACCATCAATTTTGGCTAAATATTTTTTATGGTTTTAAACCTCAGCAGACTGCTTTATTGCCTTTAACCCCCCCCCCCCCTTTTTCCAGATGAGGAAAACCCTTCATAAAGTTAAAGACACGTAGATATTTTCTTAAATAATGTTTTACGACTCTACAAATAGTGGGAACTACAAACTTTGATACACAATAGTTGTAATCAACACCACTACATAATTCAACAATAATGTGGTTACCTAAAGTAAGATCTTAACTACATGTCACTGCCTTCAAAATCACTGCTGCTACTTACTGTGCATCTACAAATTCAATTATTTATCCTTGACATATGTGTAACACTAAACATCTACCTAAAGCCAAAGCAGCTTGGTTTGTATATGATAAAAGAGGCAGTTATCATCTACTTACACTAAGCATATGAACACTACTACTGTAAAGAAGAATAAGGGTGCTCTAACTAGGAGATAACAAAAGGTAAAGTGAGCAAAGGTAACAGGTAACTGAAACAAGACTGACCAAAAATGTCATACTGGGTGAGAGGGGAATGAAATCCATCAAATCAATGGTGTGCTTGGCAAGATCAGAGAACATAGTGTTGAGTGGTTCAGGACTGGAGGTGCAGCTGATGGGAGATGCTAAGCTGTGTAAACCAACATGGAAATCCTGGGGCCATCTTGAGGAATAGTACCACAGCAGAACACATCTATTAAAGCAGTATTAATGAATGAATGAATGACAGTGAACAAAAAGAGTGTGTGTGTGTGTTAGCTCTTAACAACAGGGGAGGGGAAAAACAATTAACAACAAACATGAGGGGCTTGAAGGTAAAACACTTTAAATACTGATTAGCAGAAAAGCAGATGTGACAAAAGCTACAAAGTGAGAAATATGAATTTAAAGATCATCTGTAGGAAAATAAAAGCTGAGGAATAGATGCATAAATATAAAGTTTAGGATCAAGCAGAAAAATTTGAATTCAAGGTATAAGCAAAATAAAATGAACCTGAGGACAAGGTGGTAGAATATACTGATGAAGGATAGACAGAAACATGTGAAGCTCAATAACAGAGAAATGTTAGGCTTAATTGCAAGTGTTCATGGAATGTTCTGAGAAAAAAGAGGAACCTCCAATCTCTTTAAAAGCAAATTTTTTTGCAAAGGTTATGATGTAATATTTAAATAACTAGTAGAAGGTAAAAGATAAAAAAAAAAGGGAAAAAAAAGTAAACAAATTGTAAATATGTGAACATATACTGCACATTACTGATAACCATAATGCCTCTTTTCATCACACAAAACATACAACAGCTTTTCCCTCAAAAACATTACTTAAAAAATCCTCGTACTTTATATAAGGGCCTCTCATCACATGCTGCACTTTCTAAAGTATACAGCTCTTAACTATATTCACATCAAAGTACAACAAGACTGTGCATCTACTCCACCAATAACCTCTGTTGGGTCTCCACAAAACTTGCGTGGAGTAAGAGATGGCGATGTTGGGGGTCTATAAGAAACTGTATCCACACGTACAGATGAAGCAGTAAATTCTGAATTACGCCCATGAATTCGAGGATCATATTCTGGTGCAGCAAGAGAATATGTACTTCCAGCTGGGGCCAAAGTGTATGAACTCTGTGATGCACGGGACATTGCACGCTGCTTCTTCAAATCAGCCAGAGTCCCAGGTGAGAAGGGATTGACAGTAACTGTGACATGAATATCTATCTTGCTGCCCCCTTCACCACTATGAGTAACCATTCCACTGCCATTTCCATTGCCACCAGCTCCATTTGCATTAGCTACTATTATGTCTTGCCGCGATGTAGATGAACTCCGAGGGGGAGGAATAGGTGGTGTAGAAAGATGACCCTCAATTGCTTCTTTTTGGGGGCTGCTTGGAGTCATTTTAAATCCATTCCTATCGATAAGGCTGCTGCTGTCACTACTAGATCTCACCACTAACTCTTTCTCTGTCTTTGCAATGGGTGCTATAAGAGAAAATAAAAAATTATCAATATTACCACAAAAGCATGATTTTAACAAATTCTGTAAAAATTTGTTTGGAGGATCTTTATTAAAAATATTTATTTTTACAATAGTTATAATTTTTTTCAAGAAAAGTGTGCTGGAGGGGATAATAGTGAGGATACCTTATATAAGTTCACATGTGGCTGTACACTGTGTGTCTAAGTAGAACACAACACTCTGATTACCAAATAGTGTACAGATTTACATTTAAGTATTGTAATACCGGTGGGTTAGTTTAGAAATAAATAATTAATAATAATAAAATAGTTTATATTGTAAAATAAATTAATTATGGCCATCTTCATATAGTACAGTAAAGCCTCGAATAACGACGGTAATGTGTCCTCCAATATGGCAGTGTAAGGTGAATCATCGTATCGTGAATCAGTAATTACCATTAAAATAAAGCAATAATAATGAGATGTGTTCACAAATGTGACCTTTTCATATCTTTTGTGTGGCTTTCTACCCTCTTTTCCCCCAAAAAACAATACAATTAATGAAAATTGCAAACTATATTCTTTAAATAATGTTCCTGAATGCACCTTATACAATATAAATGAGTAATAATATGGTCATACAAGAGGAGATGGGACTCCATTGTTTTCGTTAGTGTTTACAGCCGGGAGTCCGGGACGATAGTTCTACACATGAAAATGATGAAAATAAGACCCTGGTTGTAGCTGTAGTAAAATTAATGTAAAAAAAATTAATATATATGTTTTAAGTAATGCTCTTTAATGTTAATAACTGGAACAATAGAAGTAGCTAACCACTAATGGAAAGAAAAAAAAGTGAGATGGATTGAGAACGCCAACATATATACGTGCGCATTTAAGGATACCGTGTCATTTATCTTTTCAAGAATATATACAAAAGATTCATTCTTGTTTATTACTGAATATGTATTTGATTGAATTTATCTTTATATATGCGAAATGAACAATACAATTCATTAATAATACATAGAATATTAAAACACAGTGTTTACACCCATAATGTCAGTTATCCACCTGAAACTGAAGAAAATAAGACCCTGGTTGTTGTTGTAGTAAAATTAATTTAAAAAATATGTATGTTTTAATTAATGTTATTTAATGTACAGTAGAAATAACCACTGATATTAAAGAAAAAAAGTGAGGCTGATAGTGGAACGCCAATGTATTACAGTGGGGTATGCTATAACGAACGGATCCTACTACGAATATTCCTATAACAAACGGTTTTACCTATAAAATTGAGAATGCTATAACGAACGAAACTCCTACAACGAACATTATTTAAATTTTTTTTTTTTTTTACTAATTTATTGTTTTTTTATTACAAGTATTAATGATATTGGTTATTTCAGGGGTTTAGATGCATATTTATGCACTTTTTTACAATTTTTACAATTTTATATTATATTTTTCAGTGTTAAGGGGTTGTATTTGGGGGCCTGGAACGGATTAATCCTATAACGAACAAGGTTCTAGAACCAATTAAATTCGTTATAGCATACCCCACTGCATACAGTACATGCGCACTCAAGGAAACATAGTCATTTATCTTAAGAATATGTACAAAAGATTCATTATTGTAAAATTACTGAATATGTATTTGACTGAATTAATGTTTATATATGTGAAATGAACAATGCAATTCATTAATAATACGTAAAATATTAAAACACACAAGAGGAGACAAGCCGGCATTGTTCTCGTGGGTGACGATGGTTCTACACAAGAAACTGAAGAAATTACGACCCTGGTTGTAGCTGTAGTGAGCTTAATGTAAAAAAATTGAATACCTGTATGTATGTTTTAAGTAATGTTATTTAATGTTAATAAATGGAACACTAGAAGTAGCTAACCACTAATGGTAAAGAAATAAAGCGAGACGATTGGGAACGCCAACATATGTACAGTAAGTGCGTAAATGTGAAAACATTTCGTCATTTCTCTACATATGAATATGAAAGCAACACTTATTTACTGTTCATATATGTTTTAAATAATACTTACGAATATAAAACAAAAATTCTACTAACCAATAGTGGTAAAGTCTAAAACATAAAGACAGCCAATGATATTGTGCGAGTTTTTACTCATGATGAAGTCATCAGGTTCAACTGGCTGAAGCTGTAGCTTTCCTTACAGCTGTTGCTGAAACTGTTACTGAACCTGAAGTGTTGTTGAAGCTGCTTATGATGCTGAATTTGATGGTGTAGCTGAAGTTGATGGTTTAGGCCTTAAAATAATAAAGCTGTCGAAAGAACCTTGCACAGCTGCTTTCTTTTCTCATTATACATCTTTATGTAGAGGTCATTTGAGTTTATTTAAATTTTAATACATTGTCCTGTTAATGGATCCACTTCAGAAAATATGCTCATTGCTTGCTCCATATAATATCCACAGAACTCTCACCTTTTTCATATCGTTTTAACACATCGAGTTTCTCGGCTAAGCTCATATACTTTCTATTAGCTTTTGAAACAACACTACTATCACTTTCTCTCTTGCTCATGTTGAATAGGGATGAAAAAATGCTTTAAGAAACATGAGAAAGTTTTTCTCCTTTTCCTGTTCAGATGTGTGAAAACAAAGGGCCTGCCACCTGCGATTGTTTATACTAGTGATGCTGGCATCACCACTAACAAGCCCGGCAGCCTCCGTGTGCAAGTTTTTTTTTTATAATACTGTATCGGGATTTAGTTAATATTTATATGAAAATGTAATAAATTTTTTAAATTTTGTTGTAAATACGAAGACAATAATGGCATAAATTGAATTGGGTCCTAAACTAACCAGGGTCTTAGATATGAATCTTCGTTGGTTGAACCATCGTTATCGGAGGCTTTACTGTACTAGTACCAAATACTGTATACAGTATTCCTTTATGAATTTTCTTTCAACAATCCAAAAAATCCAGTAATCCAAATGCCCTGAGGTATTTCAGTATCAAGGTTATTCTGTACTAAAATCCTTAGTGTGTTTGGGCCTGTCTCCGTAAAATGTTTTTCTGGAAGATGGATGGGTTACTTCGTATGTTACAATGATCATTGCTGGGTATAATAAATCATGGAGAATATTTTTTACCCTGAGTGAGATCATTAATTTCAATTTGGTGTCAACAGTCAAACAATACTAACCTGGTGTTAAATGAACTTGAGTTTCTTCCTCCTCAGGAATAGTGTTTGTTTTTCCACTGTCCTCTTTTTTCTCATTCTCTCTCACTTCTTTCTTTAACTCTTCCTCTTCTTCTTCAACCAAAAAATTGTCCCTGAAAATCACAAGGCAAAAAACTATAGTCTAATATTAAAACCTATATACAGACAATGACTGTTATACAATGTGGCTACGGACCTCAAAAAATTATTAAGTGATTGTTTGTATACTCTATCGATATTAATAACTTAAGGGAAAAATCAGGTCCGGTCCTTAGCCCCTGAAGATCCACAACAAGTTTTATATCCCGCTGCTATAATGATTAAATAATGTCTAAACTCAAATAATTTATAAACAGACATAACATCAATAACTTTACCAGTATACAAACAATAAATGTATACAAAATAGCAATTTATTTTCATTTACCTTACAACATACATTATGTAAATGTACAGTAGTAAGCTGCGATCCCCCAGCTGTCTCTACAAGCAATTTCGGGTAGACAAAGGTAATTTTCTTCTCTCTCTCTCCCCTTTTTTTTACTGTTACATGCACACACAATCTTTCATTCAGAATGTGCCCAAAAAAAATATCAGAAATGATTACAATAAGATCAAAAACATAAGGAGAATAATTTTTTTTTTTACATCCCCTCGAGTTAGTGTGGATCATGGGAACAGGAGGGGGATGACGTGTTGGTATTTCAGCCTACAGCCAAGCTGTGAACAGAGTTATTGTTATTTTTCAACTTGCAATTTCGGGTAGATACAGGTATACAGTGAGTTCTGCTATAACGCGTGTTTTGATAACGCGAATTTGCTCTAACGCGATTTATGAATTAGGAACGATATTTGTATAACGCGAACACTTGTTTGCTATAACGTGATTTTTGCTTACTATTTCTCCAATTTTGTGGTACAGTGGGGTATGCTATAACGAATCTAATAGGTTCTAGAACCTTGTTCGTTATAGCATTCGTTCGTTATAGGATTAATCCGTTCCAGGCCCCCAAATACAACCACTTAACACTGAAAAATATAATATAAAATTGTAAAAATTGTAAAAAAGTGCATAAATATGCATCTAAACCCCTGAAATAAAGAATATCATTAATATTTGTAATAAAAAAACAATAAATTAGAAAAAAAAAAAAAATTAAATAATGTTCGTTGTAGGAGTTTCGTTCGTTATAGCATTCTCAATTTTATAGGTAAAACCGTTCGTTATAGGAATATTCGTAGTAGGATCCGTTCGTTATAGCATACCCCACTGTATTAACTGTGAATATAGTAAAGAAGAATATCAACAAGAAGCTCGATTTTATCAACCTCAAAATCACCCTTCTCCCCCATCAAGTAAAGTGTTACATTTACTGTATGATTTCATTATTAGATATGAATGTAACATTTATTTAGACTGTGCTATCCTTTGTGTTAGGCTAACTACTAAATTTTTTCGATTTCGAGTAATCTGCACCTAACCCTATTTTCTCCATAAGTCCTGTTATTTCTATTACGCGATTTTCTATAACACGATATTTTACAAGAACACAATTATCGCGTTATAGCAGAACTACCTGTACCCCGAAAACCGACGTCCCATTAAACACCGATTACATAAAGGGGAAATAACCCATGAGTTTCGTTGATACCCGGAGATCTGACAATCGGCAGAGGATCAGCAGAGCTGTCTTGAATTTGGTGGGTAGTGGCGGTGTGTGAATTCTTGCCACGAAAGGGCTCTGCGTGCTGCCTCTGACTCATTCCCGCCCCTCTCTGCATGTGTTTTCACTTACCATGTGTCACCCACTTCGCGTTTTTCCATTATTTTCAACTTCATGTGCTTTGCAATCATGCCTAAATGCCCTATCTTCATTAATAGTTCCTCTTGTCCTGCTCCTCTTAGGGGCAGCTTGAGGTGATGTGATAAGGCGGAATAAGGCATAATAAATAAGGCGCAATAAGTGGTGATGGACCAGCAAAGATTGGTAGAGAATTGAACTTGCCACCCTAGACTGTCTCTACCATCCTCAACACAGGTAAACAAGTCTCAATTTATGCTCTACATTCCTTATTTAATGCTTATTATACTCGTTTCAATAACCGTTGATACAATAACCAACGACACCTCACATTCCCTATGTGTAGCTTATCGGGGTATACTTGTACACCTAATTTTCTTCGCTATGTTATATGCACACACTCGATCATACAGCATGTGCAAGAAATAAATAAATAATTATCACAAAGTAAAAAACATAATGGGAATAAAAATATCTTACGTCCCTGGGAATCATGGGAAGGGAAGGAGGGTGCGGGAAGGGGATGCATTGTTGGTACCTAAGCCTCCCATCATGGTATGAGCCGCGTTATTGTTATTTTTCAACTTGTATTTTTGGCTAGGTATACGTAATTACTTGTACTTAAAAAAAATTTACTGTTACATGCACACACAATCATTCATACAGAATGTGATTTTTTTTTTTAAGGATAATTATCATACGGTAAAAAGCATTCAGGGATTAAACATTTATTATGTGTGAGAGCTAGCACAGAGAGTGAAGGGGCAGCATCCCCTCATGGCTCTGCTGTCTCATGTGTAGTGACAAGATTAATTATCAAATTGCAATGCAGAATTTTTTCTTTTATTTATTATTATTTTATATACTGTATTCCTCATATTTACTGGTACTGTACAGTACAGTATGTAGAACGGCTGGAGGTCTGGTGATTAACCACTTTGTCAGCATGGCGAGGTCTTATTCTTTCTTTTTTCATACTTTTGGTGATTAGAAGACTAACTACACAAGATTAACAGTTGATTTTTTTTTGTAAGGGACATTTGTCAATACTGTTAGTAGTATAATGGAAACTTGGGATTTTGCCAAGTTGCTTCTCTCTCCAATTCATATATGTAATATGCGTCTCACAGGGCATCAGCTGCTGTGTTTTGAAATAAGCAATAATGACACTCAAGTCATTATGTCAAAGTGTGAAATTTCTGACCCTCCATAATATCTACAAAAAAATTTTAAAACCCATCATCTAATTATCAATCTTTAGTTCTTGTTTCTCACTTCCCAATATAACAATCACTCTCATACAGGCAGTCTACCACACTCAGTATCCTATAACAAGTACTATTACAGTTTCATTAAATATAAAATTCTGATATAAAAAATATGCTATCCTCTTTGGCAAAGTGTATGTGGACAGATTACAAATTAATAAACACTCACTTAGTATTGTTGTTATTTGCAGGAATAACAGCTGGAAATGTTGTCAGTGGGGAGCTCTCACCTCCTTCCTCAACTGCTCGTAAACCACCTAGTGCCGGAGAATCCTCCTGCTATAAAAGATGTACCGTTACAACTTACTTATATTTTAACAAAATCTTTGATGCATCAACTCATAAATATGTTATAGTATACAGTCATGAAGAAGTAAAGCTGTCAAAAAAGTATCCTGACATATGTTCCAGGGATGCAAATTCCCATGTCCCCAACTGAGGTAAATTTAGAATATGACTCCTATGTACGTGAACCACTGACCTATATATACTGCTAATGAATATGATGTATTTCTTTCTTTCTTTGTGTACGAACCTCTGTCCTGCATGGCAGTGAACAGTGACATTACCCACATGAATCTGACCTATATATACATATACTGTCAATGAATATGATGCATTTCTTTGTGTATGAACCTTTGTCCTGCATGGCAGTGAACAGTGACATTACCCACATGAATCTGACCTCTATACATATATAGCTGTTAATGAATATGATGCATTTCTTTGTGTACGAACCTCGGTCCAGTATGGCAGTGAAGAGTGACATTACCTACATGAATCTGACCTATATATACATATACTGTCAATGAATATGATGCATTTCTTTGTGTATGAACCTCTGTCCTGCATGGCAGTGAACAGTGACATTACCCACATAAATCTGACCTCTATACATATATATAGCTGTTAATGAATATGATGTATTTCTTTGTGTATGAACCTCTGTCCTGCGTGGCAGTGAGAAGTGATACCACCCTCAGTGTCAAGACCTAACTGAATTACTCAGAATAGGCAAACTGTACTACAAGCTTTGCCAATAAATTTGTTAAACTAAACTAAGAGGTAACCAAGACAATGTAAGGACAGCAAGATCTCACTAATTGCATGTTTAATTATCGCACAGAAGGCGGGTTTGCCAGCAATAAAATATTAAATTATATCGAGTTGAATAAAGCTGGAGTCAATCACATTAGGTAAGTATGGATATGACAGGATTAATTGGGTTAAATTTACAATTAAATTTTATCAAGGCAAGAAGTGGTGATGTATCTGGAGTGGCAATTTGTCCAGAAACTAGTTGATAGTTTTTTACTTTTGGGTTTTTGTCTGTTACTGTACATTGCACTTGTTCAATACACAATGACAATAATGTGATCTGTACATAATGCCTTTCTTTAAGTGTTCCAATAAGTGGTTGGTATATATAATAGAGCCAAACTGATGACTAACTGCCATCAGGGACAGCTCTAGCTATAAGAAAATGTTTAGAGTGCCAGGAGTCTAGGAGCCCCTCACAATCCTAATCTAAAGAAAATAGTCCCAAGCATACAAAGAATATGATTAAAAAGAGAGACTATCACTATGCCTTTGGGTAGATAGGAAACTTTGTTACATTACTGGAGATTTCAACCTTGATTTACTAAAATCTGAGACGGACACCTCAGTAATAGACCTTCTCGCTACCTGTCATTCTAAGCTCTTCTTCAACACAATAACCAAACCCACCAGACTAACTGTCACCTCTGCCACTGTAATAGATCATATCTGGACTAACAACACTCCTAACAATCTTGCAAGTGGAATTATTTATACCAATATCTCATATCACTTCCCAGTTTTTGCCATGTATAAAACAGCCACAAGATCTGAAAGTTCTAATAAAGTCACAATAAAATACAGAGACAGCTGCACCGACAGCATGCTCCTTTTTAAAACAACTCAATGAATACCTGTACTAAGTGGGATCTTTTCTATGCCCCCAACAACCCTAATGTAATCTGCTGCATCTTCTCTTGCATCTTCAATGCTTCCCCCTACTATTGTGCCCTATTTGTTTACAAATCTGTCAATCACTTGATTGACAATAATTATTTCCAGTTCCAGAATGATCAGAGATACAACTTAAGGCACCCAGAGCTACTAACACCACCTCTCAGTTCCAAACCTCCATAAAATATCACGGTGTGAAGGTGTGGAACAACTTACCCCCACCCATCCCAGCAAAGACTATGCTCCCTTCCTTTAAATCTTCTCTAAAAAAATTTCTATTGTTTAATTATTAATATTTTTGTAATACCTACTTTATATTCCTACCTTTATTGTACCTCCAAACCCATTATATCATAAATTGTCATGTAGATAGATAGAAATTACCAATGCAATTAGCATATTTGCCAACCAAACATGATACTGACACCTTCTGTCCTCTTGTTCCATCTTAATACAACCCAGATAACGATTCCACTGTAAAATATGTATACATATATTTATAATATAAATGTAAAAATAAAATTAATAAATAAATAACAAAGTGATAACCGTGGGAACATTCTGATATGTTCTTACTACCACCATGTTATGTGTACTGTACTGTACTATTCCAGATGATACTAAATGTTACGTAATACTTCCTTGAAATAAATGTACAGTATATATCAGGTGCCTACAAGAGAGCTCTGGCTCTACTGGCTCAGCCATGTTAATATTGTTATTATTATCTGCTCTGTATCTGTATTTTTCTGGCAAAATAAACTGTTTCAATATCAATATAGGAAAAGAAATGCCTTCCAAAATGTGTTGATGAAAAAATCATATTTAATAATTTTTAGCTCCATTTGTTCAAAGATAGTGTTAACAGTTACCCATATTAAGAACAACTCTTTAAATGGCATTATGAAATTCTAGTGTTGAACATATCTTAAATTTTGCACAATCATAAATTTTTAACAAAAAACATCTTGCCAACTTCAGTTTCAATTGTTTTCAAATTCTTCCTTATCAGTTATCAAAATATATTCCACTCTTATACAGTACAGTACTGTACAGCAGAAGGTCTTTATTCTTCTTTATTTTAATTTATCAAGCATACAACTGACTCCCATGAGTGTGTTTATATTCTTCATTGCTATCATTTATAAAATACTGTACTGTACTGTATATGTAAACCTGTGTACATTACAAGTTCTCATATATATTACACTCTTCAAATACTGTACTGTGTTGATTTTTCTCCTTTTTATCATTAATTACCATTAAACTTTCCACCCGTACACTATGAATCAAAATATCAAAATAAAAATGTTTGTGTATTATTCTTACCAAAGGTTTCTTCTTATTTTCTAACTGAAGTCTTATTCTTGCTTCCTCCTGTGCTTCTTTCTTTGGCGTTAATGTTTTTTCCCGAATAGATGTTCGACGTACTGATTGTGTGCGAGTGTTGGAGTGCGTACGGCGTACCTGAAACAAAAAAGGATTTAATTAGCACACACACACACAGGGATTATGGTTATCATTTTAGCAAAGATGAATTAACTGATTGTACAGTTAAGGAGAGTGCCATGATGAGGGTTGTCTCATCATGCAATCACAAGCAAGACAGGCAAAATGTGAAGACAAAATTTTTTACAGTAGGGTCGGGATATATCGCGAGATAGGGTCCGACGATGTTCGCTATATACTAAATTGCGATATATAACTAAAGCACCAATGAACACTAGACTCGGGAACAACAGGCTATTTCAATGTCAATATCAAGGAACACCAGACTCGGCAGCTGAAGCACCATCCTTGGAAAACCAGACTCGGCAGCTGATGCCATACAGCCACCCTCACTTGACAATCCCACACCTACATAAACGAAGACCAAAAATATTAGTTACAGTATTAAATCTTTTCCATTAAGCTTTCCATTTTCCTCACTTCACTTTTCAAGTCACTAGCAACCTGTTTACACTCACCTCGTAATCTGCAGCAGAGTCGGCTGCTTTCTTGTCACTCACTCAGAAAGACTGAGCGAGCGAGCATGAATGCATGGGTGAGCAGCCACGGTGGCGCCTCTGGTGAGCAAATAACGTATTTGTTTGCCATGGAGGTACATCTGAAATTTTCCTGCCCGATTTCCCTTGCGAAATAAAAAAAATTATCGCTATATATATAGGAAAATTTTGATAATTTTAGTAGCCTTGATATAAAAACATTGTTAAATAAAGTCGCGATATATCCCGACCCTAGTGTGTGTGTGTGTGTGTGTTTATATGTACCGCTCCTCCTCGACTTACGACCTACAACCACCCGCACTTACAACCTGCCTCAGTCGTACCAAAATTTTGTCAAATTACGTATATTCGATCCCCAGCGACAGTTCAGACAAAATTTTCGTTTGTAATTCACTTTTAAATGGCTGGCAAGCTTAAAAGTGAGAGTTTTGTGGTGCTGAGAAGAAAAAGAGACACCCATTTTAGATTTTCTATATATTATTTAAGCATTTTCGACTTACGACCTGGATTTGGGTCTCTAACCCCGTCATAAGTCGGGTAGGAGCTGTATGCATATATATACAGGTTGACAATCCTTTATCCGAAATCCTTGGGGCCAGAGGCATTTCGGTTTTCGGAATTTTTCGGTTTTCAGAATGGTTTTTCTATATACAGTTGCATAGAAGGTCTCCGTGTTACGTGCGACTGATTTCCTACAAACATGTGCTGATAAGAACAAGGTTAAACTTTAAATTTACAGCACAATATTTAATTTTTTATAGTAAATATGGATATGCACATAGTGGTATGTGGTTCAACCCGAGTACACTTTCGACTTAAGAACATCCCTAGGAACGGAATTTGTACGTAACCCAGGACTGCCTGTACTTTATATGCTGATGCTCTTTCTAAGTCCATTTTAAAATATAAATTATCTTAACAAGGAGGTCTTCTTTAGACCTCGGTAGTGAAAAAGAATAACCATCTCACCCTTTTAGTCTGATCATGAATTCTCTTTGTTTCTTGTTCACTGATGAGCTGCATTATCCTCTCTCGAAGTTCTGCATCTTCACATATGTCTGTTGAGAATATTAGTAATACATTGAAACATAATGCCTAACTTTCATATTTAAAGTTCCTTTACAAATAAGACAAACTAATGCAGAATGAAATACAACAACAAAACTAATACACCTATCAGGATATATATATGTCAAAAACATAAGTTTTATCTAAACTTTCCTTAAGTTTAAATATCAAGTGTGTGTGTAAGACATCATTTTAACTACCTGTATTACTACAGTAAAGTGTGTCTGTAAATTACAGGTATCCCCCAATATATGAAATGGTTTCATTCTTGGAATCCATCCATTAAATGAAAAACATACATCATACGGAAAAACTCGTATATTATTAGAGGTTACTGAATTGTAAAACCATTGTATAGCTCTTTTCAGTTTTGGGATCAGATTATCATACGTGTGCCAATACATAAAAGAAGCTTCAACTCCAGCCCAAGTACAGTATAATTGAGTCTGGGGCCAACTGGACAACTACATGGTGGTTTAACATGCCATTAATTGGGAGGCTTGCTGCATAAATGTTTTTTTCTATAACAGTACCATTAATTGGGAGTTCCTGGTCAATGTAATGCAGGATAAGTTAGGATTAACCTGTACTACATTTGGAATTCTCTTCTAGTACAGTACTGTACCTGATTTAATTTACATTTTTTCTTTCTTAAAGTCAATATAAAAAGTTCTACACAGAATCATAACAAATAGGAAACAACTGTTGTTTATCATCTCAAACAAACAAAATAAATTACACAATACTACAATAATCAGGAATGACAACTTACCATAGGGAGTCTCTTGGTTCTTGGTGCGAGCATGAAGGTTTGCACCATTTTGCACCAATAGTTCCAAAACATCAGGCTGGAGTACAAAAAGCCAAATTCAAATTGACCATACAAGAAGAAACCAAGGCTGTTACTCCATCCAGGTTCAAGTCCAATTTTTATGGAATTTTAATCTTCTTTTTTTAATTCTTACCCATTAGTATTTCCATGGTGCAGTTCACAATTTAATTCAATGAAATTACTGTATCACCATTTAAAAAGTGGTATAAATACATATTCAGAGTATAAAACATAAAATCCAGTTTTCTGTAATGTGGAGAAAAAGTAGTTTTTGGAAATACAGTACCCTACAGTATTGAGTTTTATTGTAATAACAAAATGACTGCTTCACTTATGTCATAACTTAATGCAAGATGCAGCATCTGTAAATTCAGGAACCTTTGTTAACTTCTTAACACTGGAATATGATGGAATGTAAAAAAAAAAAAATAAAAAAATAAATCTGTGAGTGGCATTTAGTGTTAGCTACATTGCATAGATACTGAACACAAGTTAATTGGAGGAACCACCTCTTCAAAATATGAGATAATTTAAGGGCAACAAACATTACTACCAATCCTGATATATATCACTGACAAGATATAGACAAGGTACACTTACATGTCCCCAGCAAGCAGCTGCATGAAGAGGTGACCAGTCATCATGATCTCTAACTTCTGTTGGTACATTTTGGCTCAGAAGATACTCCACTACTCTGACATATCCATTGGCAGCTGCTATGTGGAGCTAAAGGTGTGACAAAATTGGAAGAATTCATCAAGGTTATTACTCTTAGTAATGCAATCTAAATAATTCAATTTAAATATAAGCAGGAATAAATTGAACACAAAGTATTTTCGACTCAAGTTACTAAAGTAGTTATAAAGACATTTTAGCAATGTCCTACAACACTTGTATAAAAAAAGTGCTACTGACCCTAGGATTATTTTCTTATTGTGTCTAGCTAACGACTAGACAAGTAAAAGAAAACAAGTGAAGACTGTGAAAGGCATAACAATAACACATACTGGTGTTGCCCCCTGATGGTCACGAAACATCAAGCTTTGTCCTTCACTCTTCATGTGCTTCAGATCATTGAGCATCTGTGTCTCGGTGGCAGACCGGGTCTCATCAATTAGTCGCTGAGTGACCCCACGGCGAGCCATCTCCCCCTCAATGTAGTCAAGTGTGGCATCATCTTCACAGATATCGTAAGGCATGTTGCCATCAGCATTTACAGCAAGAAGGTTGGCACCTCTGCAAGAGAAAAGTCAATTTTATCTTTACAATTGCTTAATGCATTTAACGCAGACTATGAACTGAATGCCGTATGTATAATCTTTCTAGAACTTCAAATTTTGGTGCTCTAAACCCTTTAATGTCCAACATATCAAAATGACATTTATACTTTCAACACTTGTCAAAGAATGCTTGTCGTTTACTTGAAGCCTGAAATAGGAGAAGCACCTGTCACTTACTTTTGAGGAGAGAGGCAGACACTTTCAGCAGACACCAGAAAGAGGTTGGAGGCCTTTGAAATGTGGTGTTATAGGCAAATGTTAAGAATAACTTACACTGACAGGAAAACAAATGAAGAAGTACTAAGGTCAACTGAAACTTCAAGAGAAATGCTTGAAATATACAGAACAAAATTTGAGATACTTTGGTTATATAAATAGGGATGATGGGATAATAACAGAAATATTAATGAGCAAATTTGAGAGTAGGTGGGCCAGGAATAGGTAGAGACTGGGATGGACGAATGAAATATTAAAAACTGGGTCCCCAGAGATACAAAATCTTGGAGGATTGGTAAAAACAGCCCAAGAACATTTAGAGTGGAGGACTATGGTTGCCAACCCTCAAATATGAGAATAGTACTTTGATTGACAGTACTGAACTATGAAAACTTATATGAAGAAAAGTAAAATACCTGTAGATGCTTCTGCATTTATTAGTACAGTACTGTATTTAGAAGAAAAGGCATGCTATTACTTCTGAGACAAAAATTTAAATAATCCCCTCAAAATCCTCTGAGAGCTTTGCTTCTACCTCCAAGCATGAAATTTTCTTCTCACTTGTAACTACTTAAGTCCATTATTCAAATGGACATGATGATTTAAGGCAAGAATCCAAGATTTGATTACATTATTCTTAAAGTAGAGTTGACAGCAATCATTCCGGAGGCAAAGTTAACATGTGATATTGGTAAGACATCAGATAAAATTAGGATGAAGATGTTCTGGAATGTATTTCTGTCATGATGTCCCATGCCAAAATTACCATAAGTTTAATGTTATTAGTTGGGGTTACGTTTCTAGGGGTTATTCTCATGAAAATTTTCTCATAAATATTACCGTACTTCACCTAAAATAAAAAAAAAAAAAAAAAAAATTAAGGATAAAAAGCGAGTGAGTGGGTGAGCATGTCATATGGATTGATCTCAATATTAGAAGGTCAACATAACTCACTTGGCAATGAGGAACTTGGCAAGGTGAAGGTGACCACAGGTAGCAGCTGCATGAAGAGGGGTCCATTTTTCCGAGTCCTGGGCATTTACATCAGCTCCGTGGTGAACCAACAGTCTCATCATCTCTTCTGAGTCATCAATACAGCACTGATGAAGAGCAGTCAACCCATCCTCATTTGTTGAGTCTGGATTTACACCTGCTTCCAGAAGTGCTTGCACTACAGTATAAGAAAAAAGTTATCATAATAAGGGTTAAGATTAATTTCATGAATGAGCTTACTCTTACATAGTACTACAGTGGTCCCTCGGTTAACGAACGCCTCGGTTAACGAAATTTCAGTTGACGAATTACCTTCCATAAGAATATTCAATTCGGTTAACGAACAAAAATTTGGTTAACGAAATTCTTACGAAAATGTTTTGACATGCTTTGGCTTGCTCACCAGCTGGAAGATTAGTCCGCCAATACAGAAATCGGTTCTAGGGCTTACATTCGTTAAAATTGGAGTAAATATCAAGAAGGATGTACTATTCAATAACTTTCCAAGTTTTATATTAAAATTTTTAGTCATTTTAACACTTATTGAACATAATTGCAGTACAGGGTACAAGTTTTTGGTGCACCCAACAGCCACTTCACTCACCCACCAAGGCCTCAGTTTGTATCTCTGTTCAGTGGAGGAAATATCTTGCTTGTGGGTCTCTTGAACACAGAGCATTTTTACGTTTTTACAGTACAAATATTGGTCATTCTGAAATTTATTTAACATATTGACAATATATAGTGCAGTGCAGTGTTGATTTAAAGAAAATAATCTTGAATTACACTTAGTGAACTAAAGCATGGGGTGATTTCTCTTCCACCCCCACTTCCTTCTCTTCTCCCTTCTCCTCCACCCCCACTTCTAATTCCCATCATCATCATCATCAACCAGGAGCCTTCTACATACACACCTCAAAGTAAGTGTACTTTACTGCCTTTTTTTTACTTTGTATGTAATTTTCGGTGAGCTGGAACCAATTTCCCGAAATCCCATTGAAACAATGGTTTCGGTTAACAAAATTTTTGATTAACGAACGACCTTCTGGAACGAATTGTGTTCGTTAACCAAAGGACTACTGTACTGATGTCTTAAGGACCCATGAAACTTATCTATTTTTAAAGAAAAGTCAAAGGAAACGCTGAAAATTAGAGATGCACTAATGTATTGGTATCTATGGTATAGGTCCGTTTTGGGAGTATTGATTGCCAACAGTAAGGTTAAATCAAAGTTTTAAAGTTGGATGCCCTTCCTAATACCAACCCATGAAGTGGGAACAGCTGGCAAGGATGTAATCAAAGAATACCCACCTACCATGTATGTACAATACTATTAAAAGAAGAACTGGTCTCACCATCTTATACTGGGCAATATCATACTTTCCCATCAACGTGGTATACAATAATACACCAAAGGATCAATTGATTGTGGTACACTCATAACATCCCTGGCAACCCAGCAGTTTAGGTCACATGCTGTCAAATTAAACTAAAAGCTTAGAAGGCTAAAAACAAATACAGTATCTAATGCAAGGCAAAAACATAAATAATAAATAGCATAGAACTTTCATAAAACCATTAAAACATTAAACGATAAAACTCAAAGCTTGATACACCAAAGGATAACACTGCCTTCTGGAAGGGGTAGCTAATGTGGCTGAATGGCTGAATGTTGGTACCTGATAACACAATATTACTAAATGTCATGTTCATGTGAAAAGAGCTGCATGGGTAACTGTATAGAATTACAAAGAAATAATTTGAATACCGATTCTTAGCAAGATATGCAAAATGCTGGACCCTTGGGACCAAGACCAGACCATTTTGTGCATCTTCAGTTTTACTGGATCCTAGATGAAGACACTCACATAAACTGAGTTGAAAGTTTGTTGACATAAATAAAAAATAAATAAACAATCATAGCTACAGTTCAATTAACATATCATAAATTATAATATCCTCTAGAAAGAAACTTATGTGTATAGATCTATTTCAATCCTGGAATGGAAATCTCAAACAGAAATTCCTATCCAGTACAGAGAGTAGCACTCATCTCTGATGCCAGCAACTAGACCAGTTGGTAAAAAAAAAAAAGTGAAAGTGACTGAAAACTGAACAGGGATTACTGCCAGAAAAACATAGAGTACTGTAAAGTATACAGTATAGCCAAGTCTAACAGTAGATACACACTACCTAAAGTGACATTTGCTTGTTAATACCCTCTGCTTTATTATGTGAGGAATACTAAAAATAATTTCGTCATAGATATAGACGTCTTGTGTCCTGGGTCTAGATCAGGGTGTCAAACCCATGGCCCGCGGGATGACAGTAAAATTTATCAGCCCGTGAAATTATGATAGAAATAGATATAATCATATTTATAAAGTAAAGTGAATTTTACATACTTAAGATCAAACAAACCCAAATGAGGTATTCCTGGTAAGCCAGGTCAGGCAATGTGTGAAGCTGTAAACCTCAATCCTGCAAATATGTGATATAGCACTTGTGTTGGCCCTGAAGAGGGTAACTAAAATGAGAATTGGCCCTCGAAAGGTTTTGAGTTTGACACCACTGGTCTAGATCAATGGCTGTGTATGCACATTATACAATAAGTACTTGAACTGCATACGTGAAGTGCAATTGGTTATAAAAGCAAATAAGCCCATCGGCATAAATTGTGTACAATATATACAGGACTGTACTTACCTTCATCGATATCATTTCTGGCTGCAGCTTCCAATAGCATTACATTATTGATGAACATGACACTCTTCCTGTTCTCACGCCTCCTCTTTTGTGCCTCATTTTGTGCAGTTTTTTCTCTCTTACTGCCAGTTATTTCTCTCTCCTTTTGTGACCATTTCTTCATCTGCTGCATACGGCGACGTCTTGCTAATTTCAAACGCTCTTGAGTTGACAACTTTTCAATGTATGCCATCTCGGCAATAAGTTCACTGTGTTCCATTGTGGTGGACGAATTTCTTTACATCTACTTATTACACAATTTCAAAGACTAGGTTCATTCTGGAATGCATAGGTTTCAAGGGAATGTCAATGAGCTATTCATGACAGTTTGAGAATCAAAGACTTGGATCAATCAAGATTATCTCTGCCACAAATCCTTGAGATTCAGTCATGTTAGCCTTAAACTTTAGTCATGAACACTGAAGACAGCATCGTTGACAGAACTTCAATTTTTTTCCCTACACAACTACGTGCACTAATCACTGCTACAGTTTTAAGATCTAGATTACCAGGTAGTCACATAATTTTTTTAAATAAACTTTAATTCATTATATATTTCTAAAAACAACACTACTCTTTAATGCTCACTTAAGTCAATTTTATCACAAGTTTTAGCAGGCATATGGAATAAACTAATCCACTACTACCTGTACACTACCAGATTTAATCTGAAGCTTTCTTAATTTGGATGCTCTTGGTTGCATAGATATCTTAAATTTTCCTTACAAACAGTGCACAGGAAACATATGGAATGCATCATATTCATTGTCTATTATGCACAGGTATGGTAGAGTTGTAACCTTTGAGCTCCTTCATCCATGTTCCTATGTAGTCGTTCTTCACCAGATTCTATTAAATAAGACAAGTGTTGCAGGATCATCTGCAACAGCATGTCTCTCAAGCATTTTTCTGTAATCCATTCTGAACATTTAGACTTCATACTCCATATTGATCTATTTCTGTAAGAAAAAAACAGGGTGAAAATTAAATTTACTTGAAAAACAAACAAAAAACCATGACCAGCATTAACACGGTACAGTACAATTGTCCCATACAAATGCTGAGAGATGTGTTCCTGAAGAATCACAGCATTAGCAAAACAGGCATCTGTGGACTTTTTTCAAATGAAAATAAGGGAATACTTTCCAACCTCCTACATGAAACCCATACCACATGCATACTGTATAATTACTTACAAAAAATACAGGGCATTGCACTTTGGACAAATTCATATAAGGTCAAGTCAAAAGTGGATTAACAACCATAATGACCACTGTGGATGGACAATAGCATACATTTCCTATAAAAAGTAGTATTGTTCATATTAAACAATGGTTGTGGAGTGCAGCTCCCAGCCTACAAGAGGGCCTTAAACTTCTTGGGAAAGGCAGCTGCAGTAGCAGTATGGTCAGCACTTGCTGCTTTGCCAGTGAAATTGATGTAGTGAAGAGACTGCAACTCCTTAAATTTACCAAACTGATTAGTTCTGGATTAGTTCTGGCTACTTAGTAATACAGTCCATAAGAATCTAAGAATGGAGGAAACTGCAGCGGCCCTATTGACCCATACTAGGCAGTCCCATTTACACCCAACTCCTATCACTCATATATCCATCCAACCTATACAGTATTTGAAGCTACCCAGCATGTTTGAGTTAATGATGATGTTTGGTAACTTGTTACACTCATCCACTCCTAAATTTAACTGTGTCTAATTTAAAACCATTGCTACAAGTTCGTTCCTGGTTGGATAATTTCAGTACCTTTATTATATCATCTTTGTTTAACCCTGACTTCCATTTATACACCTCACTCATATCGCCCCTCACTCTACGTCTCTCGAGGGAGTGCAAATTAAGATGCTTTAATCTGTACAGTATATATTTTCAATAAAAGACCTTATTTTTACAAAACGTATAGTACATTACACAGAACAGTATAGTAATTGGACTTTCATGGGAATCAAATGCCAGATATGGAAACCTCATGGCTTTCTAATGATAAAAAATTACCAGTAATAACAAAATTCAAAATAGGAATTGAATTTTTTGGTGTGGAAATTGCACTTTCAGAAAATACCAGCACGATATTCAAAGAGTTTCTTAGCTGTTATGAAATGGAATAGTATTATTAATGTCTGTGAACCATTTGAACTCCTGTCCATGTAAACAATGATGGTGTTCTCATGCATGCTGGTGGTAGCATCTTTCTTTATGAGAAAACTAGAGAAAAACTGAATACAAAAGGTGTTATATCTTTCCCCAATTTGCTTTATTCTTGAGGTAAGAAATAGATTTTCTTCTATAGATACTTTTGTTAAAGAGCTGATTAACTTGGACGCTTGTTCTTAACTCTCAGGAAGCCTCAAAACTGGGATGAGCACCAGCCTGAGGATGTCAAAGAATCACAGTGGAAGAATGTTAGACACAAAAAAGGTCCCAAGGTATTACGGTAGTTGGAACTGTCAATAGAAAAGACGAATGCTCCAATGAAAACAACAAAAACACCTTGCAAAGTATTACTGCAGTTTGACAAGATCACTGCCCAGCTGTCCTTGTTCAACCTTCCATCCATAAATTGGGTTGCTCAAGAAATAAACTTAGTACAGTATTGAACACCAATTCTATAAGACACTACAGGATGTGTACCTAAATCAGCATGTCATGAACTTCACTCGTACCATAGGAGATGATTTATCAAGCACATTAGACCTAGTTACTACCTCTGAGTATGATGCAATAGAGAACTTAATGGTAAATGCTCTCCTGGCGAAAAGTGACCAGGGTGTAATCACCTTTGATTACCAATATGACAGTATTGGTACCTGTACAGTGCTATCCAAAATGGGGATGAGAGACAAAAACAGAATTACTATACAGTACCTGTACTTGAAAAGAGGACTATGAAAGTTTCAGAGCATTCATAACCAACCATGACTGGGATAGGCTTTTGGGAGGTAGTTCAAACATAAACAAATGGTGGAACACTTTTGCAATTATTATATCAACTGGTTTAACAAGCATACAGATTGAGCCACAAGAAGTATAATTTTCATTTTTTTGCGCTGGGGAATTCAATAAAGGGTGAAATAGGAACCGAGTCTGTGTGGGTAGAAATCACGGAAGGAAGAGAAAAACTAATTATGGGAGTGATTTACAGGCCCCAAGTCTTGGCAAAGAAGCAGCTCAGCCCATATGGCAGGAAATGAGTAGGGCAGCAAAATATAACAACCTATGCATTATGGGGGATTTCAACTTCAGAAATATTGACTGGGACAACATTGTAGGCGACTATGAATCTGAAGACTTCCTAGACGCAGTACAGGACAATTTTTTGAAACAACTAATTACAGAACCTACTAGAGGTGACAATATATTAGACCTAGTATTAACAAATAAAGAAAATATTATCAGAGATATCACAGTAGGGGAAGAACTAGGTAACAGTGATCACAGAGAAATCAGGTTCACCCTAAATTGGGAAACGAAAAACAATGACAATATGGTCAGAGTCCCAAACTTTCGGTTGGCGGATTATCAGGGGTTAAGAAGGTACCTAGGTGAGGTCACCTGGGAACAGTCACGTCAGTTCCCAGTAGGAAGGGGTGAGGTCATAGATGACACAACAATTGATCATGACTATAATATATTCACTAGTATACTACATAAAGCACAAGAACAAAATATACCACACAGAAAAATTAGGTCAAATAAGAATGAGCCAAGGTGGATGACCAGAAAACTTAAACATGACATAGGAATAAAGAAAGGAATATATAAGAAATTAAAGGGAGGGGAGGAGCAGCTCAGAAACAGGTATAATGAACTATCTAGGAATGTTAAGAAAAATGTAAGGAAAGCAAAGAGAGACTATGAAATCAAAATAGCAAGAGAATCCAAGGCGAATCCCAAGGGATTTTTCCAGGTATATAGGACAAAGGTCAAGGACAAAGTTGGGCCTTTAAAGTCAGGGAGGGGAGAATTGATAAATGGCAGTGAAGAAATAAGCAAAGCATTGAACAGCTACTTCTTATCAGTTTTCACAGAAGAAATTTGCGATGAAATTCCGGAGGTGGAACTGATATTTAAGGGAAAGGAAGAAGAGAAATTAAAGAATATCACTATCAGAAAAGAGGATGTTCTTAAGAAGATAAATAAACTAAAGAATACAAAATCCCCAGGGCCGGATGAAATTTTTCCTCGAGTCTTAAAAGAGTGTAGGGAACAGATTAGCGGACCCCTCGTAAACTTATTTACAAAATCATTAGACACTGGAGTTGTGCCAGAGTTGTGGAAACAGGCAAATGTAGTACCCATATTCAAAAAGGGAGACAGAGCATCAGCGTCAAATTACCGGCCGATCAGTTTGACGTCAGTAGTAGGGAAATTTCTTGAATCAATTATAGCAGATAGCATCCGATCGCATCTAGAGAAAAGCAAATTAATCTACGACTCTCAACATGGGTTTACAAAGGGAAAATCTTGTCTAACAAATCTGCTAACGTTTTTTAGGAAAGTCTTCGAGGTAGTAGATAATGACGAAAATTACGATGTTATTTACTTAGACTTTAGCAAAGCATTTGACAGAGTACCGCATCAGAGGCTTCTGAGAAAAATTAAGGCTCATGGTATCGAGGGGAAAGTTTTAAATTGGATAAAATCATGGCTCACCGATAGAACGCAGAGGGTCAACGTAGATGTAGTTAAATCTGAGTGGGGCTGTGATCAGTGGGGTTCCCCAGGGGTCAGTGTACTAGGCCCACTCTTGTTCATAATCTACATAAACGATCTAGATACTGGGATCAGCAGTGACATAAGCAAGTTTGCGGATGACACCAAAATAGGGCGGCAAATTAATTCAGGGCAGGATGCAAATGCATTACAGGAGGATCTAAATAAACTGCAGGGGTGGTCTGAAAAATGGCAAATGAAATTCAACACCAGCAAGTGCAGCGTACTTAATAATGGAAGAACAAATACTTAATGTATACAGCCTTAACAACATCAACCTAGAGAAGTCGACTTGTGAAAGAGACCTAGGGGTACTTGTAAGCCCGGACCTACGGCCTAGAAAACAGTGTGTTAATGTTCGAAATAAGGCAAACAAAGTATTGGGTTTTATATCTAGAAGTGTAAGTAACAAGAGTGCAGAGGTCTTATTGCAACTATATCTTGCGCTAGTCAGGCCGCACCTCAATTATGCGGTTCAGTTCTGGTGCCCCTATTATAGAATGGATATAAATTCACTAGAGTCGGTGCAGTGAAGAATGACAAAAATGATTCCGGGACTTAGAAACCTTCCATATCAGGATAGGTTAAAGAAACTTAACTTGCATTCCCTAGAAAGACGAAGAGTGCGGGGAGATATGATAGAAGTATTTTAAGTGGGTGAAAGGAATCAATAAAGGGAATATAGATAAAGTTCTTATAATATCCGAGCAGGATAGGACTCGGAGCAACGGATTCAAGTTGGGTAAGTTTAGGTTTAGGAGGGAGATAGGAAGAAACTGGTTCACAAATCGGGTGGTGGACGAGTGGAACAAGCTTAGCAACTTTGTAGTAAGTGCGGGAACTCTGGAATGTTTCAAAAGGAGGCTAGATAGATTCATGGATGATAGAGTGGTAGTAACGCTCGACAGGAGCTGCCATGCACAGGCCAACCGGCCTATTGCAGACTCCTTATTTTTCTTATGTTATGCTACAGACGGGCAAAGGGTGACCAACATATGTGGCGTTGTGTAAGAATCTCAGAATCCAACAACGAACAAGAACCAGGCCAATAAGGTAAGAAAATGGTGATTCCATCATATGGTGAGAGTTAAGTTAGGTTTGGTTTTTGTTTTTCATGTTTTTTTTTGGTGTATTTTACCCTGATTTTTTTTTCGGAAAACGTCCAACGAAAAAAGTCGATAAAAAAAAAAGGCTAATTTCCGCCAGAAATGAAGGTCATATTCGGTCTAAACACACACAAATACACTGTACACTAGAAAAATATATTTTTTTACTTTCTAGCAGAGTGCGATGTGACAGTGCAAATTTACCCATGTTTTTCTTTGCATACTGCAATATGTATTATTATATATAACATTACTTCTATTGGTATTATTTTACTTTCACACAAACATGGAGTCCTATGAATTTTATCTTTGCAATCAATAGCCTAGACAATTCTAAGACACTTTACTTCTATGACGTTTCCCTTGCAAGTGACTTATATATGCCTGGGGGGGGGGGGATCCAAAGGGGTGGAGCCTCCCAGTTATGAGGTTATGTTGGGTAATTTTTAGGTCATTTGCGTGGGAATGTCATAAGAACATAAGAATGGGGACAACTGCAGCAGGCCTATTGGCCCATACTGGGCAGTCCCATTTACACCCAACCCCTATTGCTCATATATCCACCCAACCTATGTTTGAAGCAGTCCAGCGTTTTCGAGTTAATGATGATATTTGGTAACTTGTTCCACTCGTCCACTACTCTATTGGTTGCAATGATAAAATTCCTAGGATTCCATGTTTGTGAGAAAGTAAAACTTTACCCTTCTATTACATAAAAAATGGACCAGCAAAATAGCCCACCTGCCGGGCTATTTTGCCGTGACCAGTAATGAACCCATTCATAAAAACAAATTACGCTCATTTGCTGGTGATTGTGGAATAATAACCCAAAATTACTGCACCCCTACTTCATTGGTACAAAACTCACTTGTATATAAAATATTTACAAGACATTTTAATTTAAAGGTTCACGCTTTTTAAACCCTCTGATTTTCTTCTAACACTAGATTCATCAGAGTTTGAAGTGGCAGTAAAGGATATTTTACTGGAAGAAGTCTTCAGCATAATAGTTTAGCTGTGAAATATTGAAAACAACATTTTATTAATATATTCATTAACTCTTAACTCATTGTTGAATGTTCTTTCATTACATTTGCATTCTATATATCAAAACATTCCCACAGAACAATTCCCAAAACAAAATAAATTAATTAGGACCAATAAATATTAACACATCATTTTGTTCCATACAATATTTTACAACATCTGACCACAACATTTGATCATCTTATTTTAAATATTTCTCAGACACTTGTCGAGTAATTTCCCAAGGAAACTTAATGGCCATAACACACCACCATCTATGTGTCGCTTTTTCAAAAATTGGCAAAACTCATAAATAAGGTCTTTGTAATTTAATGGCTGCGGTACCGAAATACACAAATGAATGTTGATGTTGACAAAGGCCGCCAGTGTATGCTTGTCCAAAATGTCCACTGCTGCACGTAAGGTGGCGGCCTCACTTTGATCTTGGGCACGACTATGTGTCCAAAAAAACAGGTCTTAATTTCAATCTTAACACCAATATCAATATATCAACTTATAGTGGCGTCATATAACAATCACTTTCTGTTTTAATCCACGTGTAGAATTCCTCCAGGTAGTTATTATATGCAAGCACAAGAGGTAAACATTCCCAACCTGTTCACTCCGCCTACCACCAAGTACCAACACGGACTGTCGAGTCGGTAACACCAGCCACTCCAGGAACCCCAAGATGGCTGATGTTGAAACAATTTCACGAACGTGTGTGTGTGTGTGTGTGTGTTGCAACTTAGCTTACCCTGCCGTTTCGGCGCTATTTCCACTGAATTTTAGTATGAATATCTCACCCCAGTTGCTCACAATGAATATGATAGGAAGATATAGAAAGATGGCAAGTAAAGAAGATGTCGCAACCATACAAAAAGATCTGCTTGAGCTTTGCAAATGGTCTCAGGAGTGGCAAATGCGTTTTAACAAAGCAAAATGTAAAACTACAAGTGGTACAAAAATTCAAACCACAACTATTCTGTGAATAACACTTTCTTGGATTGTGTTGGCGGGGAGAAAGAGTAGGCGTCGTGATACCCTATAATCATGAGACACGCAATAAATAGGAGCAACCGTGAAAACAGCCAAGCAAACTGTACCTTATTTACATAATGGCCAATCAATTTAGAGGTGGTCATGCCGCGGGAAGGCCAGTGGCCTGTGTAGGATCTCTCCATTGTTCCTGGTAGTCTTATCAAGGACTATTTTGAAACCCAGCACTGTTCCCGATTCCACAGTTTGAGTTGGTATACTGTTCCATAGGTCTACCATCCTCTGTGTGACGTGTTTCCTTATAATATGATTCATTGTGCAGGAAATCTTGGCGAGCTTGAAATTATGTTCCTTCGTTTTGGTGATGTGTGACCCCACGTAAAAATAACCTGGGTTCACGTCTTCCATCGCTTTCAAGATTTAGAATGTCCCTAAGAGAACTGTCACATTGCATCTTTGTCTGAAGAGTTGTTACTTTTACCTTTATCCTCTTCACCACTGATCGGCTCGTTAGCCGCTTGGGCGATCGGGGGAGGGGGGTAATCCTATGGCCCTCAGTCAATTTGGATAATCGAGGTGATATAGATCCTGAATCATCCTTTTTAGAAATACAAAGGCAGTGTTTCTGTTAGTCAGATTAAAAAAAAAGCTGGGTGGGTTCCCTGTGCTCGCCATGTTACCCCACCCACAACTTCTTGCCCCTCCCCTTTTTGTTATTCCTGGATCCGCCCCTGCCTGTATATAATAAAGATTGGGGCGTTAGAAAGACATAAAGTTGAAAGAACATTCTCATCTTTATATTCGAAGTCATATATTCAAATACAAAAATAAGAAAAAGCTTCTTCAACGTTAGAAGTATCTCGTACGTCCTCATCTGGAAACTGTATGCAGGTATAAAAACCAGAACTTCAAAAAGATTCAGGTACACTCAGGAGCCGGTGCATGACCAGTACTTGCCAACGGTGCGTAACAGAGACCGTGATCGATCGCCCAAGCGGCTAACGAGTCGATCAGTGGTGAAGAGGATAAAAGAAAAGGAAAAGTAACAGAACCGTGACCGATCGCCCAAGCGGCTAACGAGCCGATCAGTGGTGAAGAGGATAAAAGTCAAAAGACATAAACCCCTAGAAAAGGTGAAGCAGAGCGACCGAGATAATTCCTGAACTAGATTGTCTCGATTATCAAATCAGCATAAGTCTCGGTCTCTCGTGATTCTCCTGTATATGCCCAAGAGTTGGAATTTGTCAGTGGCAAGATGACAAACCATTCAACATGTTTTTGGAAAAACACTGCTGCATTTGGAATTTTCTAGGCCTATGATGTGCAACTTTCTTAAATGTTCAAAGTGTGGTGCAAACTGCCCTTATCGTGAAGATAAACACGTTTGGTTTTTCATAAAATTTCAGGAAACGACGAAATCGCAAGACAAAGGTCAGGTTAGTTTAGGTAAAGCTAGGTTAGGTCAGGCTTCATTAGGTTTGGTTTGGTCAGTCTTTTGCGTGTTTTTACCCCACAATTTCCCTCTATTTCACAGCCCTGCCCACTTTGTATGACAAAATTGTACTTTCTTAAGTGAAATCGAAAAGTCGAAAAGCATTTGAAGTGGATGTTGGGTAGATGATTAGTGGGTCTCATGTTTTTGACCTGACTTACCGGACTTGTTACGTCGCCCATTTTTTATAAGCTCTTCTTTCGTGTGCAGTAAAGGTGGTGTGTGGATTAGTGGATCCCATGTTATTGATCTGACCTGATGTTATGTAAGCCTCTCTCAGTCCATGTATATTCAGCAGAAGTAAGAAGTATAATAAGCAGCACCGTATAAATAAACCAATACTAATACAAAGGTCTGACGACCCGAGGGAGCAAAACAAAGATTAAAAAAAACAATAGATAAGATGAAGCGATCTGGTTGGGCCCAGATTCTTTCTACTCCTACTGTATTTCAGTTTCACCGCGTTTCTTCAATCCCTAATACTCTTCTTTCACCTCATAACTCATGACTCCAATGCCAATGTAAATTCAGTTGCCTCTGAATAAAGACGAAAGCTAAGGTGCTTCATTGTTTCCCTTTTCCTGTGTGGTAGATTTCTAACATTGCCCGTTCTGTCCGAAATCCCCCTGACAATGTTCGTTTCACTTTCAATCTTTATTGCTCATATATGTCTTTTCACTGGTGTTTTAACCTTTGATATGCATCATAAAGTTTGTGTTTAATATTTAATTAATCAAAGCAAAATTAGCTTATCAGTTTGAATATATGACATAATACTATAAAACACAAATTGCGTAGACGAAGTTTAGGTCAAAGTGTCAATGAAACATTCGTATATATGTATTATAATTCTTACCTACTCATGGTCTAATTCATATATGAAATATTTGGGTTATACATCTTCACTTCTTAGATGGTTGCCAGGAAGCACTACGGAATAAAAACTAAACCCCCAACCTAAGTCGAAGTTCTGAGAACTCCTGATGCTGACGACCACCTGTGTCGTGTTTTCGCAACGGTAATTCGTACGCAACTACAATATGAACCTAAGAACATAACTGGCTTATATAAAGCTAGAGTAAAAAGAAAAGGAATGACATCAAAATTACAATAAAACTCCATGTTATAAAGTTAGATCTCAAAATAGGTGACAAATTAACACATAGAAATTAGAATGTTAATTCCACTTGCGTAGATTCTTTACCTAGGTTTTGTCATCAAACGGATTAAGTTAAAATACAGTCTCATTGCGATTCTGATCCCATTTCATTTTTTTATGTTTTATCTTCAAATGACGAAGTCACGTTGGTGTTCGTACATTCCAAAAATAAAAACGATCCTTGTAATTTGATTTTTAATTATTGATGCAATTAATAGCTATTTGGCAATTCCTTTTATTGCTGACCAAACAAGTTTTATTGGGCAGTTATCTGATAATGTCTGCTAAAACAAAATAGTTAACCATGTTCTGACAGTCATCTAAGAGGCAGTCTCGAGAGATCTCACACTCGAGAGTACTGCAGTGGCGCACCCAGGAGGGTTTCCTGGTTGCCCCCCCCCCCTCCAGGAACTGCCTGGTGCGGCCAAGCCATACCTGACCTGGCGACAACTTAGCAACACGAAGGTTGGGTCAGCTTAACTGACCTTACCCCACGCCAGTGGAAGCATAATAGTCTATTATGCTTCCAATATCTTCTCAGGCGGTAGTACTTCCCTGTTTGGTAGCTGCCTACTACCTACTACTACAGCTACAAGAAATTTGGTAACATTTGATTATACATAATCTATATAATAACTCAATCAGAGGGTTGGCGACCACAGTCCTCCACTTTAAACGTTCTCGGGCAGTTTTTTACCAATCCTCTCAGGTTTTGTATCTCTCTGGGGACCCAGATTTTAATTTCATTCATCCATCCCAGTCTCTGCCTTCCCCTGGCCCCTCCTATCCTCAACTTTGCCTATTAATATTTGTTATTATTCCCTCATCCCTAATCATATGACCAAAGTATCTATTTTTTCTTTTTCTTTACATTTCAAGTATTTCTCTTGAAGTTTTTGCTAATCTTAGTACTTCTTCATTTGTTTTCCAATCAGTGTAGCTTATTCTTAGCATTCGCCAACAACTCCACATTTCAAAGGCCTCCAACCTCTTTCTGGTGTCCACACTTCTGACCCATACACCATTCATTACCATATACAGCCTTTCGGCAGCCCTTTTCTCAAATTAAAGTTAATGCCCCTTCTCATTAGGTCATTTAAATTATTTAATGCTGTTTTAGCTTGCCCTATTCTTGTGGGGTTAATCAGCTTCCAGCAAAATTTATAAAACAAATGGGCAAGAATGGGAAAAAATGTTGCCTAAATATCAAATTCTATATAGTTCAAAGGAAGCCATCCCAAGTGATTTAATATATATATATATATATATATATATATATATATATATATATATATATATATATATATATATATATATATATATATATATATATATAATAATAATAATAATAATAATTAACGGTTTATTAGAAAAGAGCTTGGCAGCCAAAGAGGCTGAAAATATACAGTTATATTTGAGAATGGGGTTACAATTACAAAATAATATACAAGTGACATAAGTGGCACAAATAAGACATATGTAATAACTAGATGGGGAAAAGCTCAAACTACAGTTCATTTCAACATAGTGACAGTGCAAGGAGTAGTGTTTACTGGGAGTGAATACACTGGTTTATTACAAGTTATTGATAATTTTTACGATGGTTGGGACTGGGCTGTTCTTATAGCGATCAGTTCGTGCACGTATGGGCTGGATGCGGTTGTGGTGTCGAACAGCAATTCTCGGACTAGGGATCTCAGGTGGTAGTAGGGGCCGGTGTCGGGGATGGTGTAAAGCTTCTTACCAAATTTGCAGATGAGGCCGTGGTGGTGGTCAGTGAGAGTCGAAAGGGTCAGTGTGTTGAGCGCTTCTTGATATGTGGAGTAGGAAGGGGAGAGAATAATCTTGCATGCCCTCTTTGCACTTTTTCTGGGTGTTTACGTTGTGTGGCATTTAGGGAGGAAGACCAGGTGGGGGAGGCATAGGTGAGCTTGGGAAGTATGAATGTTGTGTATACACTGAGGATGTGCGG